TATGATCAATATTATTCTCATATAAACATAAATATATATCATATCATGTTTAAACATCCTTATATATCATTACCAAGCATACATATGAATCAAGCATCAATTTAAATCATATATCATACATATATGAACCAACTATACAACATAGTATCATACAAATTTTTAATCCTCGTGATAACACCTTAACACCTCAAAACAACATGTGTCTCCCTTCGACAACTTTCAAAGAAGACAACACACAGAGAGTTATATTCATCTAAATAAGCTCAAACCTATCTCAAAAGAAAGATAAGAGGATAATCTACAACTCTTATGAAGACATTAAACTCTAAATAAATCATCTACTTGGCTAAAAATATCAAAACCCGCAACAGATATAATCAATGCTGACAACTTGACCCCTGTTCACTAAAATAGCCATAACTAAAGCTATAGACCTCCTTTTTAGGTGATTTGAACGCCATTGGAAATATAACATCCAAGGATAAAATCTTTATGAATACATAAAAGTATAATTCAAAAAGCATAAAACTACTCATCGCCTCCCAAAGCGCTCAATGGTTTGCTTCTAGGGATTCTTCCCTGTAACGCGACCCCCAAAGGACTCAGTCCTTTAAAATGGCTCAGCTATTTCAAAAGTGCTCAGCCCTTTAAAATGGCTCAGTCTTTGGTTCCAAAAACCTCCCTCTGTCACGCAGCCCCTAAAGGGCTCAACCCTTTAAAATAGCTTAGTCGTTTGATGACAGAGGCACCATGTTCTTCATCATTTTTGGACCTCCACACCTGAAACTCAGAAGAAGAAAAAAACCCACATGCAATGGAAGAGGTAACATCCATGCACCAAAAATAGTTCAATTCAAGTCCTAGAAATAACATGCACTCATCCGATGCACCAAATCAGCCAAAACCCCATTTTAGCTCGAAAACCCCAAAAATGGGAAAATCCCTCAAATCAACAAATCAACCTCCAATTCATGCATTATTTGAGTTTCTAAACTCACATGCAACCAATATATCACAATCCTATTTTCCCTTACTTAAAAATTAGCTCAGAACAATCAAGAAGAGGAAGAAGAAGAAAAATTCCTAAACGATCGACCCGTAGACTTTAATCTGCCAAAATCAAGCTTTCTAGCCTGAATTCAAAGAAAAGATAGAAGATATTAGTGATCTAGAAGAGAAGAGGAATCAACCAGAGAAATTTGGGAGAAAAAGGAGCTCATGGACCCAAAACCCTTCTCTCTAAAAATTCTCTCTAGATTTTCTTTGAAAATGAACTTATGGGGTTTCATTCTTCAAAGAAAATCTAATATAGCATTCTCTCTAGAGTTAACTAAACTCTAAACAATTAACTTACTACGTTACAATACCCCCCAACAAATAGAAATTTTTGTCCCCGAAAATAGACTTACTTGTAAAGAGGAATGGATATAGTTCCCTAAATTGACTCTCTACCTCCTAGGTCGCCTCACCAGTAGTTGTATCCCAAAGAACCTTCACCAAACTGATGGACTTGCCCTGAAGCTCCTTAAACTTGTGATCAACCACAATTACCGGTCTCTTCTCATAGGTCAAGTTCTCTTTAACTTACACCTCATCCATCTTCACCACGTGACTCGAGTATCTAATGTACTTCCTCAATTGTGAAACGTGAAACACATCTTGTAGGTTGGACAGAACCAGAGGTAACGCTAATTAATAAGCCACCAAACCTACACGATGAAGGATCTGGTAAGGATCAATGAGCCTCAATGTGAGATTCTTGGCCCTTAAAGCCCTTCCCACTCCAGTAGTGAGTGTGACCCTGAGAAACACGTGTTTTCCCTCCTCAAACTCTAAAGGTCTCTTCCTCCTATCAGAATAAGACTTTTGTCGACTCTGGATAGCCCTCATTCTCTCCTAAATCTGCCTCACCATCTCAATAGTTTGAAGAACTAACTCCAAATCAACAACTACTGCTCACCCTCTTGATACCAACACAATGGAGTCCTGCACCTCCTGCCATACAAAGCCTCAAAAGGCATCATGCCAATACTCGAATGATAACTATTGTTGTAGGTAAACTCCACTAATGGTAACACCTCCTCCCAGCTACCCAAATGATCCAACACACAAGATCTAAGGAGATCCTCAAGTGACTGAATTGTCCTCTCCGATTGACCATCTGTTTATGAATGATAAGCAGAGCTCAACCTCAGCCTCATCCCTAAAGCCTGATGCAGAGTCTGCCAAAACCTAGAAGTGAACCTCAGATCTGGTCAGAAATAATACCGGAAGGCACACTATGCAACCGTATTATCTCTTTGATATACAATTGTGTAAGCCTCTCCAACGACCACCTCTTGTTGTTAGGAAGAAAGTGTGCACACTTCGTCAACCTATCAACAATCACCTAGATAACGTCATTATTCCTAGCCGACCTAGGCAACCGAATCACAAAATCCATAGTGACACTATCCCATTTCCACTCGGGAATCTCCATCAACTGCATCATCCCTCCGGGCTTCTAGTGTTCAACCTTCGCTTTCTAACAAGTTAGACAAGCAGCCGCAAACTCTACTATCTCCTTCTTCATACCAAGCCACCAGAAACTCTTCTTGATGTTCTGATACATCATAGACATACCGGGATGTATGCTAAAATGACTCATGTGTCCCTCTTCCAAAACAACTTTTCTCAACTATGTATCCTAAGGTAAACAAATTCAACCTCTAAATCTCATAATCCCATCAGTACCAAGCTCAAAATCAATTTCCCTCTCCGTACCAAGCAATCCCAAAATCCTCGACAACTTTGGATCTTGTTACTACTTAGTTCCCGCATATCTCAAGAACTCATTAGCTATGGTAATCATCGCACAATTAATGTGATCCTGAGCAACCTCCACCTCTTGTCTCAAATCTCTAAACTGCTCAATTAGCTCCAACTCCCTGATCATCATAGTCGACATGTGAATGGATTTCCTACTCAATGCATTTGTTACAACATTCACATTCCCAAGATGATACATCAACTGGAAGTTGAAGTCCTTTAGAAATTCCATCCACCTCCTCTATCTGATATTCAACTCCTTATAATCAAACAAGTACTCTAAGCTCTCGTGATCATTGGAGACGCTAAATCTCACACCATACACATAATGTCTCCAAGACTTCAAGGCAAACACCACAACTGCAAGTTCCAAAACATGAGTGGGATAGTTCCTCTTATAAGTCTTAAGTTACCTCGGAGCATATGCCACTACTCTCCCTCTTTGCATCAACACATAACCTAACCCTTGGTGAGAAGTATCACAATACACATCAAAAGACTCACCAGTGTCAGGTAAGACCAAAACTGGAGAAGTAGTAACACCATCAACTCACAACTTTGACTACCTTGAGATGTTCTCTCCTGTTGTGAAGATGAGCACCATCCGTGTTTCTCTTGCCTTAGCCTCCATTAATCATTGGACTCTATAATGGCTAGATGTCAGCAACGTGTTTCGACATGGAGATTTGTCAAAAGATGTCTATATGGTCATTCCACCTGGGGTCGATGGGAATCGTTCAACTCAGTGTTGCAAACATCAGAAATCACTCTACAGCTTGAAGCAGGCTAGCCGAAAATGGTATGAGAAATTGTCCCTTTTACTCTTATCTTGCGGGTATTAGCAAGCTCAGCCTGATCATAGCTTGTTTGTTAAAAAGGATCATTCTACTTTCACTACTTTAATCATATATGTTGATGATATTATGCTTACTAGAAATTTCTTTGATGAAATAACCAGCATCAAACACATTCTTCATTCTTATTTTCGTATCAAGGATTTTGGTTCCTTAAAATACTTTTTGGGTTTGGAAGTTGCTCAATTAGATGAAGGAATTTCTCTATTTCAGTGCAAATATTGCCTTAACCTCCTTCAAGATTCGGTTCTACTAGGATCAAAGCCCTCTTCCACTCCTATGGACAATTCTCTACGCCTACATCATGATACCAACACATCCCTGCCTGAGGCCTTCTCACACAGGCGCTTGGTGGGTCATTTGATTTATCTGACCAACAATCGTCCTAATATAGTCTTTTCCACTCTACAATTGAGTCAATTTATGGCCAATCCCACTCAAGTTCACTTTCGTGCCGCTACTAAAGTTCTTCGGTACTTGAAAGGATGTCTTGGTAAAGGATATTTTTTAAAATGCAATTTTATTCCTCACATACTTGGTTTCAGTGATGCAAATTGGGCCACCTGTGTTGATTCTCGTCAATCCATCACCGGTTACTGGTTCTTTCTTGGAAATTCTCTAATCTCTTAGAAAACAAAGAAATAGACCACAGTCTCTCATTCATCTTTTGAGGATGAATATTGAGCCCTTGCCAATGCCACATGTGAGTTACTTTGTTGTTTTATATTATGATAATCAAAGTGCTTTACATATAGCTGCTTATCCCATTTTCCATGAATGCACAAAGCACTTAGATATTGATTATCACCTTGTTCGAGAGAAAACTCAAGAAGGTCTCATGCGTTTGCTCCTTGTTTCATCTTCTAATCAGTTGACTGAAATCTTCACAAAGGCTCTCCCAAAAAGGTTATTTCATGTGAATTTATCCAAGTTGGAATTAATTGATATCTTCCTACCTCCAGTTTGTGGGGGCTAATAGAGCCCAATTCATATTCAACCCAAAATAACCCAGCTGTTGTTACCACTAAAATTCAAGAAAAAGACAATCCTGCCTCCACTACCGTTCAATTTTGTAATAGCCGAGCAATATAGTATATTTTGTTTTTTTTAGCTAGATATTTTGATCTTATCCTCTATAGGTCATCACCTAATGCCCGTGGTCTACATATATAAATTCATTGTATCTTGATTCATGAATAGTAAGTGAGAAATATTCCATCATTTGTTACCTCTTTCTATAATCTTTTATCTTTGTCTTTTATGAACATTCCAAATGTAGCTTAGTATATGCCCAAAAGGCTGTACATTGTACGATGATATATATTTAATGTTATGTAGGGATGAAGCACTGGAGTATATGAAACATGCTGTAGTTTTAATTAGAAAACTGTTGAAGGTGCTTCTTAAGAAACTGAATGTGAAGGAGTTAGATAAAGAACACACCTTAATGGGGCAAGTGATAATGGCTTTTAATTACTACCCAATTTGTCCTGACCCAGAAGTAGTAGCAGGGGTAGGCCCCCATTCTGATATATCATCAATCACCGTCCTTCTACAGGATGATACTGGAGGGCTTTTTGTGAGAGGCAGTGATGGTGATACTTGGATCTTTGTTCCTCCTGTTGAGGGAGCATTGGTGATCAATATTGGGGATGTGCTGCAGATTATGAGCAATGAAAGATACAAAAGCATAGAGCATAGAGTGGTTGCAAATAGAAGCAAGACCAGGATCTCAATTCCAATCTTTGTCAATCCTGCACCTGATGCTGTTGTTGGTCCTTTGTCACAAGTGTTGGAGAATGGTGAAGAACCAAAATATAAACAAGTTTTGTACTCTGACTATTTCAAGTATTTCTTCAGCAAAGGTCATGATGGTAAGAAAACTGTTGAATTTGCCTTGATATGATTCGTGACCTTGTCTTTGAAGTTTTCTAAACAGGCATGAACGTTCAATCGTAATGCTATCCTCTGATAATAAATTGCAACATTTTCAATCCCTGTAATCATATACATGAATAAACTCTTTGTATCAAACTAACAAAAGAACTGAAAAGAAATGTTTTTAGCTTCTTTCTTCTTCATCTTTTTTTTTTTTTCTCCCGATATCTACTCTGTTTCAGTTTTATGCACATAGAGTGCAACTGGTGGAGCTACAATTAATTAAAGAATTCCTCAGGAATTGAATAAGTTATTTGTATGAACCAGTAGAGAAGTTATCTGTCTACTTTTGTGTACGCTATGTGATGATTATTTTGTAATGCATCAGGAAAGTCAACGCAAAAATAATGGAGTGATATGTAAGGTTTACCTTAGAAACCTCAAAAATGCAAGATTTGAACAAGATCCTCAAATCCCAACTCAAACTTCAATCTCACTTTCCAAGCTTTTAGAGACTAAATCTCTTGAAACTCCAGTTGTGAAGATTGATCCCGGCTCGATAAACTTCCAAATTTATCCTTAGCTTCCCTCTGGACCAGAGCTTATCTCTCTACCTCTTCTCTCTAGAAACTGTTTTTATCTGACAAATGAGATCCTTCGGTTCTAAGTCCCTATATATAGCCATTTTTTAAAATTTTCAAATTTCACCCTTAACACCTATTCACCTCAAATATCCTATTTCTTGAAGTATTTCAACTCCCTAAGCTCTAAAATAACCTCAAATTCACTCAAAAAGACCAGATTTATCTTATGTTCCTATCCTTCAATCTCGTACCATTCCTATTCCTTTCCATGCAATACTCACAACTTACCACCATATGAAATGCAACATGTATCAACATACAAACAAGCATCTCATTCAGATACATATTCTTAGAATAATGAGTTGCATGCCACAATACTTTACTTAACTAAAATGAGAAGGAAGGTGATCAGTCTTCTTTCCTCTTAGTACTAGTTCAGTATAATGGTGTCAATGCATCATTCACCACTCAAGCATACACATGCCTACATAAACACCTTAAAACAACAATATCTTGTTCCATACTGCGAAATCGCTTCTATGTCCAAAAAACTAATCAAAACCACATAAATATACAACATGCACAAAAATAAGTACATCTCAAATCCACACATCTAGAATCTAACCCAAATCCATATAAACAACATATATATACATATATAAATATATATATAAGTATATATATACCAAATAGCATAATATTTCCATGGTGTTACACTGAACAAGCATACCTAATTGTGTGAAAGCGTGTCAACAGTTAAGAATGTCAAATGAGCATTGCCAGTTTCCAGTAAATCAAAAGTTTGTTCAGTATAGTGGATATTAATGTCAATCATGAGGGTATCTCAAGATCCTAGTGTTAATGAGGTTAAAAATAATAATGATCTAAATAATGCAAATGATGATCTTTATGGAGATTAGACTATTGTTACCAAAACTAAAAATTGAAAGTAGAAAACCCGGGAGGTCCAATTTTCCATGGATTATTGCATGGATGTTAGATCGGTTTCAGGGGTCCGACGTAAATTATACAATCTACGTCAGAGATGTATTGTAGCCGACGTAGATTATATAATTTACGTCGGACCCCCCAGTCCGACGTAAAATAGTCAATATATGCCCACCCTTTCATTCTCTTCCCGCGGGCGCCTTAGTTTACAAAAGTCTCTAAGTTCTTCTCTACGTTTGTTTGTTTGCACAAAGTTGTTTCTAAGTCTCTAAGTCTCTACACACTGCACGTTTGAGGTTAGTTTCAAATTAGTTTTCTTCTATGCATTATTTTCTGTATTTTCTATTAGTTGCTCATCTGGAACGGCCCGTTCTATAACCAGAATGGGTCGTTCTTCTTGAATTTGTTGTTTGTTAATTGTTCATTTGGAACGGGCTGTTTCGAAACCAGTATGGGCCATTCCAGATAAATAATTAATATAAAACCAATGTAGCTGGAACGTGCCGTTCTAATTTCAAAACAAGTCATTCCACACGCATTAAATTTGTGTTAATTGTGTATCTGGAACAGCCCGTTCTGGTTTCAGAATAGGTCATTCCAGATGCATTAAAGAAGGTTTTTTAGGCATTAACCTTTAGTTTACCATTGTATTAGTAGAAGTATTTATCGATTTTATCTGAAATTACTATAGATTTTTTAGGGTTGTAGTTTAGGTTAGAAAAATTATGAATAACTGAGTTAATAGTTGATTTGTGTTAATATATAGATAATGAATCGAAGTTAGATGAATGCAAGTCGCATTAGAATCTTAAAAGACATGAAAATCCTGCAAAGTCTTTTAAAATCTGTAGGATTCTTTTTAACTAAAAAAGTTCTTTAAAATCCTAATCTAATATACACCCCCTAAATGTGAACTAAAATATCACATATATTTTGTACAACTAAGTAAAACAATTATATATAATATTTTAGCATTTTATTATTAATATGAATAATATTATTCGTAAATTAATATTAATAATATTATTAGTACACTTATAGATAATAAACTAAAAATTTAATAAATATAAATTAGTACATATTAATACAATTTTATGATTATATAAATATATTAGAAAAAGTTAATTAAAAATATATGGAATAATATAATTAGTATTAATTTATCTATGATATTTTTAATACTAATAATTTATATAATATATGGTTAAATATGTTTTTAATACTTATAAAATAAGCAAGTTTTAGTTTTTTTTTCAAAACTTTTTTTTTCCCATTCCTCTAAATGTTTCCAATTGAAGATTTTAAACCTACACTATCTAGCCATTTGAACTAACTTGAGTATGGGGATTTTAATATAGCATAGAGAAATATTCATTTGCCAAAATCGATTCAAGTAATCATCTATAGATATTGTACTACATCTTTTAATGTTAATCAAATGAATTAAACTCACCCTTTTTCCCCTCTAAAGAATTGTTCGTGGGATATTTTTTCTCCAATTGGATCCAACTACAAACCGAATTGGCTGGTAACGTGGTGGACCATATGAATGCATTTTGTTAGGTGAACTTGGAAAATATTTCATTCTAAAAGCCTAAGCCATTGCCAAATTCCCGCACTCGATTTGATATCGTGGGACATGTTTGAAAATTGATCATTCACCTGATTTTTCAGAAAACTTCGAGAATTTTGAAATTTTATATTCTCTCGAAAGTTTAGTTTGTAACACAGTCTAGGAATGTTGAAACAAAATAAGACTGATTTTAAAATCGTATCTCAAAACCATGTCTATTTAACACATGTTCAACTGTTTCATTGATTTGTTGGGGGATTTTGCACATTATTACCTTCAAGAATAGGTTATGCTTGCTATGTTTATATGCATTATTCCTCAAGTCTTGAAAACATGGACTTTCTTTAATTTGTCTTTGATTTTTTTGTAAGATTTTACATTTTTCTAATTATTGTTATTTTTATTAAAATATATGTTGTGGTTTTGGTTTGTTTTTTATATGTTGAGAAATTTTGGGAATTTAGGACTTCTTAGGAGTCTTAGTTAGTTAGGAGTGTCTCTAAGTAGAGGTCAAGTTGGACCTATAAGGAAATGTATATAAGTTTTTTTTAAGACTTGAACTTTATAAGTTCATTCTTAAAAAAATCTAGAGAGATAATATATAGAAAGAAGGGTTTGGATTGAATGGTGTCAAGTGTGAATGCCTTTGGAGCTCTTTGACTTGGTGAAGTTGAGCCCTAGTAGAGTGGCGCCAGCCATTATCAAAACAAAATCTCTCTCTTCCTAGACGACGATGAGCACCAATTCAATGACGTTAGACGTGAGTTAGGCTAAGACTCTCTACCTAAAATGGGATTATACGTGGGTTTAGCATCAGGCGTGATTGACCTAGGGAGTCTTTACCTCATTTACACTGAGTGCAAATTAAGTGGCCACGGGCGTGTGCAAGCTCGAGAGCTCTTTAGCTCAATGATGTTGGGTGCGAGGAGAATGGCATCGGGTGTAGGTTGTTTAATGAAAATATGTTGTTCTCTTGCATAAATGTTGAATATGTATAGCTTAGTTGAATTTATTACATGTTGTATTTTGTTGAACTATGATACTAGTTTTTTATGCATTGATATGAGATAATGTATATTAATGATTGAATTGTCAATAGTTGTATGTTGACACGTTAAGAATGTTTTGGGCATTAAGTGGTGTTATGTTGATTGAATTAGGACTAGAGGAGAGATTGTTTTATAGTTGAATATCACATCATGAGGATATTATGTTGTAGTGCTCTAAGAATTCAATTTGTTGAAAATCCTTCTTAAGAAGTTGACTCTTGAAGTGGATTATGAGTCTCCTCTAAGACCTTAGTTATGCGATATGGATGCTAGTCATATTTTCTATAAAGCATAGGAGTCAGGTCAAGCTATACTGATTATAAAGTGACCAATGTTGATTTTTATAGGGGGTTAGGTCAAATCATACGTATAGAAAGCGATGAATAAGGTACAAGGTCAAGGGTCAAAAATCCCTCACTAAGTATTGGAAGAGGCGTAATATTTAGGGGGTTAGTCAACATGATAATCCAATATATAGCTTAGTTATGCATGCTAACGTCGAGATAGATCCGCACCCAAGTATTATACCCTAGCAGAGATACTAGATTTACCTAGTTTAAGTGGAAAAATCCAAGAAACCATGTTGTTGTGGATTTTTATCCAAAAATTGGGTGTTGATCTAATTGGAATGAAAAGATCATGTTCTTATTGGTTTAGTAGGGTCAAGTCCATTAGACTTCTCACCTGTGTTGTAAGTCTCTTAGTTGAATGTGTGATGATACATAATTATTGTGTTGTGCATAAGATGTGTTGATTGAACTATGTTGTTCATATGATATGTAGAATGGTTGATGAGTTATGTTGTTGAATTGTTGTTGAATGATAAATTGAGGTGTTGTTGTGTTGTTCAAGTTGGAGAGCATGTTGTATTGTGTTGAAAAGTTATAAGTTGGTAAAATGATTAAAGAAAATTAGGTTGTTGGTAGTATAGTTTTTTTTTTCACTTCTATATTTGTTATGTTCTATATTTGTGAAGTTGATTCTTTCAAATACTAGCTTACCCTTGCATGTTTTTTTGTGATTGAACTGTGATGATCATATTTATATGA